GAAGAAGAAGAAGAATGCTATATTGGGGATTTTACAAACCTGAATTTTCAGCTTGCTGGCACCAGGACAGTATGACGCCTTTCCGCAAGAATCACCAGGGGTATTCAACCCAAACCAAACACATGAACCACGGAAAGACATCTTCCTGTCAGTGTACCAGCTGGCAACCCGGCGCGTCCACGGATGGCGAACAGTAAAACATGGTTCATTGAGAACTAGCTGCGAAATACGTAGACGCTTGGGTCTGATGCCTGCGTAGCTGCGGACCAAAACCAGGGGGCGGGTAGCTGAGATCTGGAACGTCGACTGCATTGTACTTACTTGTATTTGTACTTTTTACGGCTGTGATGATGCCTGATTTAGCCGGCCTCAACGGTGTCACGAACGGTATCTCTCCATGCCGACTGCATTGACGGCACTGCGATCAGAAGTCGATCAGAAGTCATGACTAAAAAAGGCGGCTTGTCCCCATTGGCCCTCTTGAATCAAATAGCCAAACACGACTTCTGGGCCATCGTGAATGACGTTGCCCCATAACATGAAAGGCACAGAGACGGTGACTTGCCGGTGAAATAGCTTCTATTGATGGCGGACCTACGTTGAATCTGATGCACTTTCTCCTGGTTCTGGTGGCAAGACTAAATCAAGATGGCCGGAGGTGGCGGACAAGGTTAAATAGTCCGTCTACGCGTGCCACAGATTTGCTTCCTCAGGATGGGGCAGATGTTTACAGAAACGAGAAGTGATTGACGTAGTGTCGGGCAACCCAACCCATTCCAGGAGAAATAGCAGAAGCAGTCCTGAGGCCGAGCAAAAACAACTCGCCCAGAGGGCAGATAATTTCTGCGGCATTTTTCCGCTCCAGTGCTGACACTGTCGCCATGGCTCCGTGAAGTGATTGAACAAGGTTGGAGAAATAAGGTCGCTCTTGATGACTTAACTTCATTCATTATTGTGTTCATCTTCAAAAGGGAGCGTGACTACAGTGCGAGAACAACCACAAAGTAAACTTCAACAATATTGCCTTGAATACCTCCGTCTCAGACTCATTGTAGCCTAGTCCTGAACTAGAAGTGGATACACCGACCAAATATTCCCACAGCTACTAACTTTATACGACTGCAATCATGTCTGATCTAGCCGGCCCCGATAATGCCACAGACTGTACCTCACGCGCGTAACGATCCACAACAGCAGATCTGGACAATTCAAGACATTACCTTCGTCATCGACGGGGACCAACCACTGAAGGTTAGAGAACTGTCTCAATCTCTTCATGAACCATATGGAGATAGGATTTTAGTTAATTTCTTCTTTGATACCTGTGAGTGGGCAACGGCGCCGGATTGAGAACAGCAACACTAAGCTCGTGAGGTGGACAACGAATAACGTGCTCAAATAACCTCAGTCGTTTTTGTTGGATGGTTTGGGATATTTTTGCCATTTTGTCGGAGTAACTGCGGGCTGCCTTCTTTGGGGCGAATTCACTGTACTTCAGTCGATGTATGTTCTTCAAGCAGTGGTGGTCAAATACTTCTAATTTTTACTCTTCTTCCCTGCGCACAACCCCGTATTCAACACCACTGAGAAGGACTGAGTCGACGGATACCCGGTACATCCGAATTTTCGCAGCGATTGAGATTTCGTCTAGGATAAATAGGTACATTATAAAGCTTGAGAAAATTTGCAGCAATAGCGATTTGGGAGACAAGTTCGTCCATTCGGCAGCAGGCTGACTCCGAGCTATTCAAGACTGTCTACTTCTTCAAATTGATGGCCGTTAATCTCGAGAAATGCCTTCTCCTAGTCAAGCTGATTCACCCGTGACACCATAAACTGCAGATGATCAAAGCTCGAAGCGAGCAAGGCGAGATCAATCAGCCGACGCCCAGATGCACACTCGACATCGTCAACTTCGAGCAGGATCCACGCAAACATCCGTTTAACAGGGTAGTTGAACATAGGTGCGTAAAATCCAACCCCACCTCCACGCTGGTGCGCGCCGGAAACTT